GAGTTAGACAGGAGGTATAAGTTTTTTAAAGCTATCATACACCATAGTGACTTATAGTTAATAATAATGTAATGTGTATTTCAAAATTGCTAAAAAAATGTGGATTGTATTTATTTATATTTATTTATTTTTACTTATTTATAGATTTATTTTAGTTTGCTATAGGGTGCATACACTCGTCAGAGAGAGACAGAGATAGAGAGCGAAAGCACTTTGGGGAGGGATGGCCACACTGCAGTCTCTTCTCCTCTCAGGATTTTGGACATGCACAAACACACGTGCCTGGGTGTTTCTCAAGACCCTGGGTCTGGGACTCTAACCATACAGTCAGTCATGTGGTATCCAGCTGCCATAACCACCATGCTACCTGCTGGCCCAAGAGCAGATTTTATTTATTTTTTATTTTTCAAATGATTATTTTTGGGGCTGGCAGGTGGCATCGTAGTTAAAGACATTGGACTCCCACATGGCCAACCATGATTCTAGTCCCAGACCTGGCAGCTTGCTTATTAGTTATTTTTTTTTTTTTAATAATTTGCTATAGGACACATGCACTCACCAGAGAGACACAGAGAGAAGGTGAGAAAACAAGCTGCCAGATCTGGGACTCGAACCACAGTTGACCGTGTGGAAATCCAGCATCCTGACCACCACCCCACCTGCTGACCCCCAAAGTAGATTTTAAACGTTCATGTAATAACAAAATAAGTATGTGAGGTAATGGGTACGTTAATTAGCTTGATTTACTCATTCCATAATGTATACATTGCATTATACCCCATAAATATATATACAATGACTATTTTTCTACTAAAATGTTAAAATATGATCTTCCGTTATCGTCACTGGCTAGTGAGTTATGACGTATAACTGAGTTAATCTGTACGTGAGAGCCATTCCCCAAGATGACTTCCCGTGAGCCTTGCTTTCTGGTATTTAGGTCCTTATGTAGTCTTCTCCCACACTGAATCAGTGTTACTCTATGGGAACAAGAATATGGTGGAGGTTGTGACAAACAATTGGCATAATTAACTGTACATTTTAGAATGATGGCTAAGGTTACAGTGGTACTTTCCAGGGTAAATTGTAAAGAGCTTGGAACTTCTGCTTACTTATTCTGAGGCAGACCAGCAGTCATCTCATCAGGACTCTCTCTCTTTTTTGTAGAGAGGTTTTTGCTATAGGATGCGTGTGCTTGCCGGATAGACAGAGAGAAACAGAGAGACAGAAAGCCAGAAATCACCCCCCCACCCAGAAGGAGATGGTCATGCCACAATCCATTCTCCATTCTCCTCTCAGGATTTTGGGCACGCATGCACACATGCCCGGTGTGAGTTTTAAGCCTCTGGCCTGGGGCTCAAACAGCTGTTGATTACATGGGAGTCCTGCGATGTAACCATTACGCCATCTGCTGATCCCTCATCAGGACCCTCAAGCAGCTATGTGGAGAGGTCTATGAGGCAGGAATTGAGGCCTCCACCAACAGCCAGCACCAATACACCAGCCATTTGAGTAAGCCATTGGGCAAGGATCTTCCTGCCCCATTTCACCCTTCGGATGACTGCAACCCTGGCTGAGCCCATTGAACCCAGTGAGAAACTCCTAGACCTGCCCAACCAGTGGCTCTCAAATTCCTGATCTATAGAAACTGAGAGATAATAAATGTTTACATTTGACTTAAGCCACTGAGTCCTGTGATAATATGTTATGCAGCAATAGTAATTAAATACTATACTATAGATTCTATAAAATAAACGTCTATATAAAACGCTGCTTAAAGAGGTCAGGAAAGTCTTCAAGGATGACTAAGTGCTTACAGGTAAATTTAAGGTGAAGAAAAAAGAGACATTTCAGGTTGAAAGAACAGCTCAACCACTGAACCAAAAGTAAGAGAGCATGATCTGTTTGAAAACCAGCAATTAGTTCAGCTGAGATAGAGATTAGGAGAGTAAACAGGAACCAGCTCACAAAGGACTTTCTATGCCACGCCCAAGTATTTGTTGTTTTATTCTAAAGGCAATGAGGAACCACTGAAGTATTTTTAAGCAGGCAATTGACATAATCAATTTATTTATTTATTTTAAAAATACTTTTTTATTTACTTTATTTATTTATTCTTAATTTTGACCAGAGAGGGAGAGGGAGAGGGGGAGAGAGAGAGAGAGAGAGAGAGAGAGGGGAGGGGGAGTTATGTTAAAAATACTTTTTTATTTATGTTATTTATTTATTAATTTTGACCAGAGAGGGAGAGGGGGAGAGAGAGAGAGAGAGAGAGAGAGAGAGGAGGGTGAGAAAGCAAGCTATAAGGTCTAGGACTTGAACCGTGGTTGGCCATGTGGGAGTCCAGTGCCCTTAACCAGCACACCACCTGCCCATTCCCAATTGTACATTGTGGAGTGATGGTCAAGTCCCAGCCATGGTAGCTCAAGCTGGTTGATGCTGCTATTTGGCAGGCTAAGGCCATATGGGAGGCCCAGGCCTAATTCCCGATTCACCCTAAAAGCCCGGGAGGTGGCAAACCTCTGTAGACTCAGTGATTCAGGAGGCTGGGGCAAGATCCTCCCATAGAGACTTGGTCTGGGAAAAAGAATGATGGCCAAATGGAAGATGGATCAGAGGCAGAAAGACTATTTTAAAACTACTGTGAGGCAACAGGAAAAATGATTGTTCTTTGAATTGAGGCCTTAGCAGAGTGAACAAAGATGAGAGAATAGATTTGGAGGGCCTTTCAGAGGTATAATTTTTAGAATATGAGAAATTAAAAAAAGAGAAGATGTGAGTTCAGGAGGAGGGGGCGAGTTTGGGGATGGTGTTTGAGTGGTCTTTGAGACATTCTGATAAACATGGAAGTGGACAGCTAGGAGCACTGTCTGGGATAGAACTGAAGAGAGAGAAGGCCAGACTGCCAATGGAGACTGCAGTTTTAAAAGCTTGCATTTGGGACCAGCAGATGATGTAATGGTTATGTGGCTGAACTCCCACGTAGTGGACTGTGATTCAAGTCCCAGACCAGGTGGCTTAAAACTCATGCCAGGGGACAAGCAGTTAGTGTAATGGCTATGTCACTGAACTCCCATGTAGCCAACCGAGGTTCAAGTCCCAGACCTGGTGGCTTAAATTCACGCCGGGTGCATGTGCACGCGTGCCCAAGATCCTGAGAGGAGAATGGAGAAGGGACTGTGGCTTGGCCATCCCCCCTGGGGGGAGATTTCTTGCTTTCTATCTCTCTGTCTCTCTCTCTGTCTTTCTGGCGAGTGCAAGCACCCTATAGCAAAAA